GTGTTGTGTCATGACTCACTGGGGAAATGCACTAGTAATCAATCCCCACTTTTTCTGGAGTCATCACATTGTGAAAACAATGTAGTTGAAAAGTTCCAGTTTACTTGACTGACAAACCAAGTTTGAAAGAAAACATTCACCAGGTTTCTGTACTTAACAAGAAAATAACTATTTATTGCAAACAGATTGGTTTTTATCTGACGGCAGCAAAGAAAAACAAGCTGCAAACTTATAGTTATCAACAAAATCCTTATATATACAAAAGAACACACAGAGATATGACAAGACACAAATATTATGGGTGGGGTATAAACAAAAAAATCACTGACGCACACATTTCTGGCACTGATCTGGATTATAGGTATTGATGAGATGTTTTCCTTCAGTTCCCTTTTGATTCATTTTGACTCTTGGATGAGAACATGAAATTGTAGACACAACAATTCTCAATCTTACAGTCACCAACTGAGTGTTCACCCTTTCAGCATCTTTGGTTTTTCCAGTTTCCCTTTCAGTGAATTTACAGAGAGAACAGAGTAGATCGCTTCTCAGGATTTTCTTTCACTTTTCCACTCAAAAGAGAGGCATAGAGAGAGAAATTGAGAGAGATATTTAGGTGATTTTTTTCACAAGCTGGATGTTTCTTCAAACACAAAGCTGTAGCTACTCACTTAGGAATCAATCAAGAAGCTGTTAGAATGTTGAGCATCCTGAACACACAGACACAGATATAACTGGTCCAGGATGAAAAACCAAAGATCTGCCACTGAACAAAACTGTTCTGAACACTTTCCCATGAAGCCAAGGTGTCTAGCATCTGCTCCCTGGCCCCCACCATCTCCCACCCACCACATCCCACTCCCATGCTTAAACAAGCCACTGTTATAGATAGAACTCACAATGAGGTCTGGTAACTCATTTTTTGAAACCGCAGCATCTTCTTATCACAGTCCCCTGGTTTAAACCACTATCTTTTCCTACTTGAAGACCACACAACAAAAAATAAAAGTTGTCTTTCCAGCTGTGATTTGCATGCCACTGTAAAGGATCACAATAGCAGATCCCCTGCTTGCTTTCACCAGTTGATCCTTATTATTATTCACATTACCATAGATTTTTGGCCTTTGTTTCCACTGGCCTTTACTTTCTGGGGTCTGTGTGCTGAGCTATTCATCTTAAGGTTTTTAAGAACCTCATTAAATGAATGTAAACAAAACAAGTCTCCAGAGATCCCTCACCATTCTCTGAACAAATCTACATTAAAAGTTTTAAAAAATGTGCATTCTTAATATTTGGAAATCCAAACCAAGCTGTACATTGTTCCTCCACTTTGGAACCAGGCTCTCAAGCAGTGTTGTTTTGTGAACTAACATATCATTAAACTGCAGTGCGTTGCTAACATGTCATAAGTTATTTCTTATTCAATATAAGAGTCTTTTCTAGTTACACCAGTCTCTGATTTTCCCCTATCACACTTAACCAAAAAGGCCTGTAGATCCTGACACAGGAAGATGTTGAAAACAAGCCTACCACATGGTGAGGTTCAAACTTTTGTTTATTGGCACATGCAACAGTCAGAGGGGGAATGCCTGACTATCACTTACTGTATTTTTAGATAAACATGTTCTGTAATTGTTGAATGGTCCCATACATTCCTTTACAACTGAAACAGTTTGAGTCACCAACTTGCAAACATAGGTGACAGATTGGCTAGTGGCTACTGAGAGCTCTGGGAAGTGACAGTATAAGTTGTGGTTGGTTGGCTCACTGAGCTGGTTCGTCAGGCGGGAAAACACAATAGCGCATCATCGGAGCCTGCACTGATGATGTTACCCAGCCGGGTAATGAAATGTCTGCTGAACAACAAACCAGCTCAATGAGCCAACCAAACACAGCATCCACAACCCGAGCTACAAATCTACTCTAAAACCTTAGTGACAGTATTAATTAAAGGGTTAAGAGCTGGTATCTATGGAACCATTGTGATGATAGCTGGATAGAAATAGGAAACAGTAGCAGACATAAAAAGAGGCATCTGTCCGAATATTTATATGTTCAATTCAAATCAACCTAGGCCTATTGACCTTGGGTCTTGGAGTTAGACACAAACCAGTAAATTCACTGTAATATATATGCAAGCACACATGGCATTTTCATTATGCTAGGATCTCCCAGGTAATGAAACTTTTTATTGATTTTCTTTTTAGTTTAAAGGATTCAATGGGCTGCTGTGAATACAGTTGAAATTCTTTATCACGGATCTTTAGGAGGGCAAGTCCACTAATAGCAGTGGAACACTTAGCGGCAGTGGTCAGTGATTGAACTATAAATGTGCATCGGTTTGCAAAGTTCAAACTCATTCCAGGAATATGTGGAGAAAATGCAGTTTTGATGGAATCTCTTTATGCTCAAAGAGACACTGCCAAAAGAAGCATCTGAAGAAACAGAATAAATACTCCAAATCCTTGAAAGTTGATGGCTTGAGGGAGAGTTTTGTGTAAATGCATTGATCCATTGAGAATCCTGACATCTAAAGATACAGCACATTGAGAGTTCAGTTGTTAGAGCTTAGGCTTGAAATAGTGATTCATGGTGAGGTTTAGTGTTCAATTTTTATTTTTGCCTAGCTGTCTTGATGTGTATTTTCTCACTCACTTACTTATTCACTTCATTCACACATTGCAGGTGTATGATTAACACAAAGTAGGGGGAAAATCATTTTAAAAGTTTAACTGGAAAACTGCTTGCTCTATGTTGAGTGACCATACTTTGACTCCAGCAAACTACAAAATGTCCTGATTCTAGCATACTTTTTACATGAAATAATTTCACGGTGCAACTCTCACAATGCTTCACAGCAAAGCTAGATTTAGTCAAATGATAATTGCCATGTTCATTGTAAGCTTTGCCTGAAAACTTTGAAGAATGTATTGGAAAGATAACTTCTGTTGTTTCAATGATTCAATATTTCTGGGCCCCACACTTCAGGAAGTTTGAAGACACTGAAAAGGGTATAGAAGAGATTTATAAGAATGGTTTCAGGGATAAGAAACTGTGAAGATATGAAGACAGATTGGACGAGTTGAAACTGTTTTCCTTGGAGAGGAGAGGCTAAGAGGAAATTTGATTGGAGTTTTCAAAATCACAATGGGTCTAGATGAAGTAGATAGCGAGAAATTGTTCCCTTTCTTAAAAGGATCAAGAACAAGAGGATACAGATTTAAGGTAATTTGCAGAAGATGTGACACAAAACAAAAAACGTTCCCACCCAGCATTTTTTTAGGACCTGGAACACACTATTGGTAGTGTGGTAGAGATCAGTTCAATCGAGACATTCAAGAGATTGTTAAATGATTGTTTGTGTAGCAACAATATACATGGTTATGGAAAAAGGCAGGAGAATGGCACTAAGTCACAATACTCATTTGGAAAACCAGTGCAGAACACAATGGGCCAAATGGCCTCCCTTAGCACCAAATAAGTTTCTGATTCTATGGTTGTTAGAGAGCAGTTGATGAATTGCAGTAGATTTTTGAAGCCAGTATCTTTGGTAAAAATAATGCTGTTCATGCAAAATTTCAAACCAACTAATTACAGTTTGCTGTCATATGCAGCAAAGCTAGTAATTAAACCCATAAAACCTGCTCAAGCATGTAGCTGTGCTACAGTAATTCAGTGTTTGTTCAGTACTGCTGTATCAATATTTATATAAACCTTACCTTTTACTATAGCTAAAGTAACAAATATGTGGAAAAATACCTGCAGAAAACATTGGTAATTAGTACATAGATTACTAGACGTAAATTAGCATTGGTTTACCAGCCCCTTGAGTACTGTGGAACTGAGGAATTGAGTATATAATCAAATAACATGCAAATATTAATGCTCAAGATTCTTTGAGTCTCCAGATCCCAAGTGCAATTATTTTCTATTCATTTTAATTATCTTTAACGGATGACATTAATGACTTTGAGTTAAAATTCTTTGGAAGAAAGTGCTATGAAGGAAGGTGATGTTCAAATTTGCCTCTGGGTCTGAAAATAACATTTATATATTGGTTCCTAAATTTAGTACTGTCAAGAGTTTTCTGTATCATGTGAGTGGTGATCACATTAGTCATTTAAAATGCTTTCATCCTTATTATTCGTTTAATGTGTGTTACATTTAAGTATTGTTTAAATTTGTATGGTGTAAATGAAAGCAACTTGGAAATTAACATTATATTGTATTAATGAAAAGACTAGATTTATATTCCAGTCATTTATTTATTTCATCCCCATTTAGCAACATTTTTTCAAGTTATTAAGCATTGTGTAAAGGAATGATATAATAATTACAAGAACATAGTCAAAAAGTGTTTCATGCAAAATTAGTCCTTTACATTTCACACACATTGCATGTTTATTCTTCCATAAAGATTTTCACATAATAAACCAATGATAAGTCAGTCATCTTACTTAAAAAATATTATCCTTAAATAATAATAATTGAAAATTAATGATTTTAAAACATAATTTATAATTAATTTATGTCTGAAAAGTATGCCACAGTGACTTTACGAAGTAATATTTTGCTGCTTGACTTTTGCTGCTTGAAACACTATTTGAACTTTTTCACTTGTATAAATAGAAAAATGTGTATAATGGCTGTAATAGGTTAGCAAACAATTTTGTTTAATAAACTGAACCAACAGAAAGAAATTTGAACTTAGCATCAAGCTTGCTGCCAACTTGCTAAAGTCAGGCAATAAAGCTAACTTACAAAAACAAGATATTCTGACAAAAGAGTGCATATAATGAGAATTGATTCATCCCAAACCTTATTTATATTGTAATCATTTTTGATACACCCAAGCAACTATTATTTTATCATATGAACTCTCTAAGTAAGTTAAATAAAAATCCACTGCATTGATTCATTTGGAAGGAGAGTCAATTGGAAGTAATCCCTAACATTTCAGTTTTTCATTTTTGTCATCAAATGCTGTGTCAATTTTACAGAAACTTCACTCACGGATTGTAGATCTTTCATCTGGGGACCTATTCTCTAATGCAGAGAGGAACAGAAGTCCAATCCAGTCAAGAATTACAGAGACTCAAATTCATGTAGGTTCTTTTCTTAGATTCTTTTGCAACCTATGAAACAACCATCCTATTTTTGTGTCAAAGCTATCTATTGTAGATGAAAAATAATGTTCATCCTTAAAAACATTATCAGAGTAGTATATTAAAAGGCACTCTCATTGTTCCAGTCTAGAAATGTTTTCTGAAATTCAATACCATCTCCCCAATGTGTGTCACATTGTACAAAAAGGAATAAATCTCAAGTCATTTCCCTGAGACACTTTTTTTTAGTATTGATTACATCTCTGAGAAATGGCATGGAGCATTTTATTAAAGTCCATGTACCACATTACTCATCCTATTTTTATAATATATTATGTATGAATTTTTAAAAATTCATGTGCTGTACCATTTTCAGCAAAGGTTTGCAGACATGAAGGGATTTGTTGGTAACGGCTATGGTTTATACATCTAGCTTAACATGTTGAGTCATAAAGCAAATACAAACAAAGTCGATTTGCTAAAAAGTACATTCTGCGAGAAGTTTTGGTTTATCAGCAGCAAAGTTAAAAACAGCATTTTCCATTCATGAAACTCCATAAGATTTGTAATATTTGAATAATGGTTCACTCTATTTAAAATCTACTGAAAGCAACAGGTAAATGTAATAGTCATGTTTTAAAATGTAAATAAAATAGTTCAACTAGCTACATCTTATACCCTGGTAATGATAAAAGAACCATTATAATTTGTATCCTTTGTATTTTTGACCTTGCTCGCCCGATAAATGATAAAAGACTGCAGGAAACAGGATCAAACTAAGCAGACCAGCCAACTATTTGAGGAATATTATGTTTTCCCCAATCCCACCTCCTGTCGGTTATTCACCATCCCTCCTAACCTTTCACTGTCTGATGCTAAATGTTCTGTACTCAGCAAATGTCTCAGCTTTATCCACTGCGCCCCATCTTAATGAATTTCGGATTACAGCATCCACAGTTCTTCCGATTTTTATGTTTTCATATTTTTTTTATTGATCATTATCCATGAAATTATGATGGCATAGTTGAGAGGCTAGTATTAGTAGTTTACACTGTTTCCCCCCCCATATTTTATTGCAAAAAGCCCATTTTTATGTTGCATAATTTCTACATTTGGTAGAAGGATGGAGGAAATAAACAATCATGTATTTTTTCTTTAAAGCTGAGTTGCACTCAATCATCTGAAATCTCATCAGCTGTAAGATGATTGCTATCCCATTACTGGAAAATACAAAATATCAATATGTATGATAACCAAGAAAGTGTAATTGTCTACAAGTGGCATGGAGATGAATGACAGACTGCTACAAAACTTAGTTTTACGAGAAATTGAACTAGATAGTAACCTAATTTGCTTCTGTGATTTCTGTAGAAACATCAAACTGATTTGATCTTTTTGCATTTTATGGTAAATCAATTGCTTCCATGATAAGCTACAACCTGACAGTCATTTATGGTCCATATAATAGAGTTTTGAGAACCACTAGAAAAAATTGTCACTTATGATTAAAGATTTTGACATAACTAGTATATATTGCACTTTGTTATTCAAGATACTGCACAGGGATTATGTACTAGCATTATTTAGATGTTTTTGTGATTTAATTCTACTTCTGCATAATGTGATAGCATGAATGAATTATTTTCAGATATTTATTTAAAGTAAGAGTGCAAATTAGAATAGGCAGAATCTTAGTTATACTATGGGCTGCTCCATTTACATGCTTAATAGGAGAGGGCATGCTGTTTGCATCCTTATTTTTTAAAATACTAAATGATTGAGAATGAAGAACAATAAATAAAGATTAAATGCTCAACTCAAAGTGCCTAGATGATCCAATTGGCTGAGTAATTTTTAAATCTAGTTTCAAGCTTGACTGCATTTGTATTCTATCAATATGATCCTCACATAGTGTGAAATAATCTGATAGAGTGCACCTTCTTCTGATATTTTATGATTCTAAATGTTTCCTCACCTATTTGGCAGAACTTCCCTTGAGTTTGAGCCTGTAATTTAGGGCTATGTCCTGAATGGTGAATTATGTTAATAGTTTGATCTAGGTTGCTCTAAACTGAAGCCTGAAATCCAAGTTTCCTTTTTCATTCTGTCTTGGATAACTAAACAATCTAAATCAAGTTGAGGTAAGAAAATTATGGATCTTAAGGATTGTCAGTTGCCTTGATAATCCCATTGAAAACATTCCAAATTATTCTGACATTTGTGTGGGCACATCTCAAACAGAAAAGATATCAACAGAAAGTGGTTTTACAGATAAGTAGCATTAATAAGTTGAATATAATGGTCTAGATTTTGCTGTAATAATAATGGCGAGGCTACGTTATTTTAGGAATAAATTGAAAAGTAACATCTGGCAACAACTTAAGCACAGTTAAAGTGGAAACCAAAATTTTGTTGTCCAACTTGGCCTGCTACTCCACAAGCTTCAGTACACTGGTACCTTAGTGACATGCTCAGCATTTACCTATGTGAAACTGCCACTCAAATCACCAGTAAAAAATTTGGATTGTTGATTGACTTGTAAGTGTTTTTTTTAAACAGTCAGATAAGTCTGAATATATAATTCTTAAAAATAAAACAGTGGAAAATAATTGACTTGAGTAAATCTTTAAATTCATCTCAGAGAATACAATAATTTCAACAAGCTGTAGTAATTAAAGATGCCATAGTCTGAGGAGACTTGAACTCCTCCTGAGATTTTTGAGTGAAATGGATGAATGGCACTGAAAATCTCTGTATTCTTTCTTTGCCCTTGTCTTCTTCCTGTCAAACATGCTTGACATAATTTCACATCACAACCATCTCTACAATTTGTTTCCACAACAGAACTTAGAAAGTAGATTTCACTGTTCTAACAATTTACAAAATTAAGGTTGCATTTGCACTGCTTGTTTGAGGCTGGACACTGCACTTTGGGATAAAAACGTAGAAGCTAGGAGCAGGACAAGGCCATTCTGCCCTTCAAGTCTGCTCTGCTATTGAATATTATCCTCTACCTCAAGGCTTTCTCTCCATCCCCCTTGATGCTTTTAATATACATTTTTTTTAAAATTCACACTTTTTCTTGAATACATTCATAGCCTCCACAGCCTTCTGTGGTAGTGAAATCCACAAATTGGCCACCGTCTGTGTGCAGCAATATTTCCTCATCTCAGTACTGAATGACCCACCCCTGATCTTGAGACTATGACTGTGACCACGTTTATCCTTGCCTGACTCCTGTCGACCGAATTGGTAACATCCTTAAACTTTAGAATAAGATCTGGGTCAGAGGTTTTACCAAACATAAAAACCACAAACATTTTTAGATTGTGAGAAAAGAAAACTTAAGTGGCTTAGATAGACTTAACAAATGCCCAGGGCACTAGCATTTCATGATTTGGACAGTAGATTTATACTGAACATGATGTAACACACCATCTTCCCAGGAATCTCACTCTGCTTCCCTCAGGTCAGCTAAAACTCTGACTTCAGATTTATGGGTTTAGTATTATTGGGAAGCGATTTTAGCTTTAAGCTGCTATTAAACTGGCAGTACAAAAGCAGCTAAAACTGGAAAAAATAAACAATTCACTGAAAAAATACTTTAGTTTTTCCACCTCACAATTGAACGGACTTCTTCTTTTGACATCATGCATATTTTGATAGGTTTTGAGGAACTTGAAAATGTACATGCAAATATTATGGTGCTGCAAACGGTTTGTGGCTTGTACATGAATACTAATTTAGAGGTAGTTAGCACTAGCCTAAATCCAGGATCCCAATCTTATATGCCTGAATCCCAATAGATCTAATTTTCTGTATCTCAAATTAGAAGAGTTTAATCTGCACTACAAAGAGCTGCAGTCTGCATTTAAAGAGAATGGTCAGCACAGTCAGAGATTAGATTCCAGATTACACACCACAGCATAACAACTTGGAAGAATCTGTGAACAAGAAAGCCTCATGTTGTGCTGAAGTTCTGCCTACAGTAAGCAACTTGCTCATAAAAGATGGGTTGATCTGAATTTCTGAGGCTCGAGTAGGATTCCTCATAGATAGTCAGAGTAAAACAGCTTGGAAACAGACCCTTCGGTCCAACCCGTCCATGCCAACCAAGTTTCTCAAACTAAACTAGTCCCAGTTGCCTACGTTTGGCCCATATCCCACTGAACATTTCCTATTCGTGTACCTATCCAAATGTCTTTTAAATGTTGTAACTGTACCTGCATCTATTACTTCCTCTGGCAGTTGATTCCACATAGGCACCCTACCCTGTAGGTGAAAAAGTTGCCCCTCACAGGTCCCTTTTAAATCTTTCTCCTCTCACCTTTAAAAATATGGCCCATAGTTTTGAACTCCCCCACCTTAGAGAATAGACCTAGGCTATTCACCTTATCTATACCCATTATAATTTTATAACCTCTATAAGGTCACCCCTCAACCTCCTATGCTCCAGTGGAAAATGTCCCAGCTTATCCAGTCTCTCTTTATAACTCAAACCCTCCAGTCCCAGCAACACCCTGTCAAATCTTTACTGAATCCTCTCCATTTTAATAATACCCTTCCAAGATCCTGTAGTTTTAGTTACTAAACAAAAAACAAAGAACTGCAGATGCTGGAAATCTGAATAAAAAACAGAAATAGCTGGAGAAACATCTGTGGAGCTCTGAAGAAGGGCCACTGGACCCGAAACATTAACTCTGGTTTCTCTCTGGATGCTGCCAGACCTGTTGATTTTCTCCATATATTTCTATTTTGGTTTCTGTGGGTACAGTTGTTGATGTTTTATTTTACATTTGCAATCATATTTCTGTCAAAACAATAGTTTATTTGGTTGAGAGAGATAGTAGGAACTGCAGATGCTGGAGAATCCGAGACAACGAGGTGCAGGGCTGGATGCACACAGCAGGCCAAGCAGCATCATAGGAGCAGAACTTTCATTTTGGGGTAGTGTCTGGGCAATATTTCCTCTGAAGATTCTTGTTGATCTTGTCACTTGA